ATCGTAGAATCCCGACAGTGTGGAAACAGGCCCTTCGGCCCAACAAGTCTACACCGACCCTCAGAGCATCCCATCCAGTCCCATCCCCCTATAATCCACCCTAACCCGCACATCCCTGGGCACTACGGGGCAATTTAGCACGGCCAATCCCACCCTAACCCGCACATCCCTGGGCACTGCGGGACAATTTAGCACGGCCAATCCACCCTAACCCGCACATCCCTGGGCACTACGGACAAATTAGCACAGCCAATCCACCCTAACCCGCACATCCCTGGGCACTATGGGACAATTTAGCATGGCCAATCCACCCTAACCTGCACATCTTTGGACTGTGGGAGGAAACCAGAGCACCCGGAGGAAACCCACACAGACATAGGGAGAATGTGCAAACTCCCACACAGACAGTTGCCCGAGGCTGGAATCGAACCCGGGTCCCTGGCACCGTGAGGCAGCAGCGCTAACCACTGAGCCACCATGCCTTTCTACAACAGGGCCACCAGAACTGGACACAGTGCTCCAGAAGAGGCCTCACCAACGTCCCTGTACAACCTCAACGTGACGTCCCCAACTCCTACACTCAAAGGGGCTGAGCGATGAAGGCGAGCGTGCCAAACGCCTCCTTCCCCACCCTGTCTACCTGTGACGCTAACTTCAAAGGATTATATCCCTGAACCCCCCCTCGGTCTCTCTGTTCTACAACACCACCCCAAGGCCCTACTTTTCATTGTATAAGTCCTGCCCCTTGTTTGTTTTCGCAAAATGCTTTCCAGCGTTGGCAGCTGTGGTATGCCAACCGTGAGAAATCTTGCCAACTACCAAAGCAAGGACCCACTTCTGCCTAGCCCTGCACCCCCCCCCCCCCCCCCCCAGCGAGCCAGCCTTCGCTCCCTTCTGGGAAACAAATTCGGATTTAACGGCAGCGCGTTTGGGAACTGGATGAGTTGGGTGGACAAATGGCAGATGTGGGTTTGATCGGGAGAAGGGTGAGGGGGTGCACTTTGGAAGGTCAAGCGCGGTTGGAAATTACACCGGGAATGGCAGAACCCTCGGGAGCATCGATACGCAGAGGGATCTGGGTGCGCAGGCCCACAGATCACTAAAGGTGGCAGCGCAGGTTGATAAGGTAGTAAATTGGAAGGGGCATCGAGTATGAGGATGGACAAATTTTAAGATGGGCTACAGAACTTTACTCGGACCGCATTTGGAATATTGCGTACAGCGCTGGTCAGCGGCCGGTCAGAAGAGGTTTACCAGGATATGGGGAGGAGGATTTTAGCTCCGAAGAAAGTTTGGATAGACCGGGTTTGTTTTCACTGGAAGGCAGGAGGCCGAGGGGGTGACCCCGACAGAAGTTTATAAGATTGTGAATAGAGTGGAAAGCGTGAGGCTTTTTTCTTTCCCCCCCCAGGGTGGAGGGCTCAGCTACTAGAAGGTGAAGGTGCGAGGGAAGTTTAAAAGAGACGAGCGAGGCACGTTTCCTGGCACGGAGGGTGGTGCGTGCCTGGAAGGCGCTGCCAGAGGAGACGGTGGAAGCAGACACGATCAGCAAGGAGCGCCCAGACGAATAGGAAGGGAATAGGGGGACACCGATCCTGTCAGTGAAGTTTTAGTATGGAAGGGCAAAATGTGTCGGTGCGGGCTTGGAGGGCCGAAGGGCCCGTTCCTGTGCTGTATTCCTTCTAAATAGCGATCATAACATTGTCTCTCATCACATCAACACACCCCCTGGGCAGAAGAAGGGAAAATACAGAGAAATAAGATGCAACTCACCAGCAACAGTGAGAGAGAGCCTCGCTTTTGGTTATAACCGAAAAGTAGGCGGTGGGGGGGGGGGGGGGGAGGTGAAAGCGAGAGCCCACACTTCTTCAAGCCCGCGGCAGCGACTGCTTAAACTTAAAAGCTTTTCTTAATAAATAAATAAATAAGCACACGCTCGAAATCCCGGTCTGAGAGAGCTGGCAACACCCAGCCAGACTGCATCTATTGTTTTAGCTTCTCAAGCCGTTTACTCTCATAGAACGTTACAGCGCAGTACAGGCCCTTCGGCCCTCGGTGTTGCGCCGACCTGTGAAACCAATCTGAAGCCCATCTAACCTAAACTATTCCATTATCATCCATATGTTTATCCAATCGTTGGTTTTGATGGATCGCTTTACAATCTCCCCCCTCGGGGCAACAAATAAACTTAAAACCGGGACGAGGAAAACACGAGATGATCACGCCTCCCCGCCCGTTCCCAATGATTCGTTTTTCCCGTGGCACTCCCCACCGTCCCAAATGCACGATGACGGGCGATGTTATGATCGCTGTTCCCCAAAGGCGCTGCCGTTGTGACTGAAGCCGCACCCATCCCGCGAGCGTCGTTCCCAGATTGGAATCGGCGCAGAAAAGGAATGCGGTTGGCTCACGGGAAGGAAGGGGGGGGTGGTTTGGGGGGTTGGCGTTCGGGGAACGTTGCCCTCGAGAGATCAGGGGCGCGAGAGGTGGGTCTGCCTTTTCGATTTGCCCCTCTCCGTCCTCTGCCCGCAGGTGCCCGAGGTGCGGGTGATGGATCCCGAGTCCAAAGGCCTCTTCCCGCCCTGCTCTGGCCTTCCCGGTCAGGTGCGGGACGCGGGCCCGGACGTGCTGTTCGTTCCGATCCAAGAGGGGACGCCTCTGAGCCTGGAGGGGGCACCCCGGGGTGACATGACGGATGATGGGCCTGAGGGAGGGCCTCCGAGCCTGGAGGGGGCGCAGCAGGACGGCATGACAGAGGCCAAGCCTGAGCGAGGGCCTCCCAGCCTGGACGGGGTGCCACAGTGCGACTGGGCGGAGGGTGGGTCCCTGAGCCTGGAGGGGGCACTGCAGGATGACACGGAGGAGACCGGGCCTGAAGGAGGCGGGCCCCCGAGCCTGGAGGGGGCACTGCAGGACGACAAGATGGAGGCTGGGCCTGAGGGAGGGCCTCCGAGCCTGGAGGGGGCGCTGCAGGACGACACAATGGCGATCGGGCCCAAGCAAGGGCCTCCCCGCCAGGAGGGACCACTCCGGGACGACGTGACAGACGCCTGGCCCGAGCAAGGGCCTCCGAGCCTGGAGGGGGCGCCTCAGGATGACGTGACGGAGACCAGGCCCGAGGGAGGGCCTCCTCAGGATGACGTGACGGAGACCAGGCCCGAGGGAGGGCCTCCGAG